ATATATGGAAACACATTCCCAAGCTTTGCTTAAGAGTATCCAAACGACACTGAGAGTTCCACATTTGGTATGCTTTGTGGAACTCTCATACTGGCTTGGATAGCTTTAAGCACAGTGATAAGTTTCTGCATGTGTCAGGCACCTGTGTCAGACACTGCACATGTCAAAAAATATTATCTCCATGAACATAACAGGCAACATCCTGTATCTATAACTTTTGTGAATGATTTTTAAAGAATGGGTCACCGGTCATTGCGCGATTTATTGGTGAACGGCTATTGTTTGTTTTATGTTTGTCTGGGTGTCTGGGTGCTTAACACATACGGAAACCTGTCGTCAGAGTATCCAAACTAAACTGAGAATTCCATTCTTTCCACCTACACATGGAAATTCCAGAAATAAATTGTTGGAATGGAATGTGTACTTTCACTGGAGGGCACATCCTGCTTACCTAATTCCAGTAAGTATTAGGTGCAGGTTGGCAAGAGCCAAGACTTCTGTACACCATAATGTGTGTCAGGGTACTGCTGGAGTCTAACCAGCTAATGTTATCACTGCCTTGCAAGCTTTCCTGCTGCTTGTCCAGGTAGGACCACCCTACCCATTAGGTCTATGGCTTGTAGTTTAACGGGAGCTGAGTGGGAGGATTCCCTGTCCCCAGTGACTGATCGGAGCAACCACTGTGCCTCTGTGCTCAACTCTGCAGGCAATGGGTGATAGAAAAGTAGGCTTTGCTCACTGGGTACGAATGGAATGGTTCAGTCGAGAAAACAATCAATACAAAATATATACAGTATATTTTATTTGGCTAGAGGAATAGGATGGAAACAAACATAAGATTATGTGATGGATAGTGGTGGTGGAGATGCAGTAACCACATTTTTGTAGAAGGAATTGGTTTTAAACATTAAGCAGGACATGAAAGGACTCTGAAATGCCAGCTAGTCATAATTTGTAAGACTATTTTGTTTTAAAATGTAAAATGGTACAGAATTATGGAAAAATTCTCAAATTCGGTCTTAAGAGCACCTGCCTTGCACGCAAGAGTATTGGGTTTGATTCCTGGCAAGGCAAAACTTTGGGCAAATTTCCACACACCTCTGTTCACCTAGCAGTAACTAGGAATCCGGTTGTTAGATGATTGGCAGATCGCTCTTCTGGGGGTAATAATCCCTTCAAAAAAGAACCCCCCCAAAAACAATTTGGTCACTTAATCCACGACTGTTTGTGGGACACTGCTGTGTGCAATTGGCTGCCGTGTTTCGCCCACAAAACTTTAATATACTCTAAGGTCAATTCACTTTACAGTATATTTTATGAAGCGCTTTGAGATGTCTAGAAGACGTGATAAGGTGCTATATCAAATGCAAGGATTATTATTATTATTAATTTGCAATCTGGTTCTTTTCAGTAACTGCGCAAAAGGGTTTTCCACAATCTTGCCCGACCTCAAAATAAACTGGCCTTTTAAATGAAGACCAAATGGAATTTCCGGCCTCAGATGAGATAGCCTGAAGGTAAGAGAATAATTGAGAGAGGAACAGAGAAAGCTGTTTAGGAAAATGCGTGCTTTTATCAGTGAGTCACCTCCGCAAGCTGCAAGTATTTCCATTTGATCCTGAGGTCACCTTCCTTTGAAGCTTGACACTCAGAAGAATTGACGACTGTCAATTTAATTACATTGTGGCTTAGAATTTATTTGCTCTGCCTTGAAATGCCTGCATGAGATGTTTAAAGAGTACCTGTTACAAAAAATTAGGAAAAGCAGTTAATTTTTCCTTTATTTGTCACATAGCCCAAGGACAAAGTTTCTGCTTCTTTACACAGGGGTCAACTCCTGGAAAGTGGGAAAGTCAGATATGGTAAAATGCAGGTTTACCGGACTCTGATTATCGGAATACTCCAATGGCTCTCTTCTAGCGTATGTACTTGCTGGTCCTCGGTGACCAGGGATATCGACCTAGACTCAGTTTGAATTCTAGGAGAAACTCCCTTCTTTTTAGTGGCATGAGATCTTTAGCATCCACCTCAGCAGGCAGACAGGACCTTGACTTAATGCAATGGTGGTGAATCTATGGCCCCCAGACTTTCGTAAGAGTCTAGGTAAGACCATGCCCTTAAAATTCCAACATGGGCCTTGAAACCCACAACCTTCCGACTCAGAGGGAAGAATGCTGCCAAATAGTCTGTTGCACAAAATATCAATTATCCTATTCTAATTCATTCTCTTTAGCACAGTAATACTTCACAAGACGCTTGCTGCCTTCTGAGCGATTGAAATCCATCACCCAACAATTTGCGAGAACTGTGACAGATCTGGTAGCTAAAATGTATTGCTTTTCCAAAGAGCAAACCTTTAATATTACAGAAGGTCATTACTTAGTGGTAGAGATAATAATTATAAAGTTAATGATCTAATCATAGCATCCAATGGCTTCAAATACTTATTGATGACTAAAATGTATCATTTTAACTCCAAATTGGCGATAGATTGTGCCTTGGAATCTCAAGTCTAGCATTTTACATAAATGTCTAAAAAATACAGTATTAAGATTATGGATCAGACAGTGACACCAATCTATGTAGACATCTTCTTAGAAAAGTTTGTGTAAGTCAGGGAGAGAACTTTATGCTATTTTTATTTTGTCTGGGAGCAAGATAAAGAAGAATTACCAAGCAATGCCCTCTTAAGCATGTCAACTTATTGAATAGGAGAGATACTATCTCACTTTGATGGGCTGCGAGAGAGAGTCTCAGAGAATGCATGCATTTGATGGGAAAACCATTAATTCAGGCAAAACCTTCTGCTGAGTGCTATATCTGAGGATTTAAAATATTCATTCTACAAGTGAGGCGTACAGATTGTTCAAATCCTTTTTTTATACATTCGCTGAGGGGAGAGGGTCCACATCAAAAAACAGTTCGATGCTAAACAAGCTCAATTGGTTTCTGAGGCACTGGGTAACCTTTGAGTTTTGCAACCCACTGTCACCTTAAATATTAGAGAATGATACACTCCTAAGCTTTATTATTACCAGTAAAGTATTCCTTGCTTCATTCTAACATTCAATGTCTTTGCTTAACCTATTATATGGGGATTGAAGCAAGCAGCACATCCAAGTTACCAGCACTTACATTCATAATTTTCATAATAATTCATAATTCATAATAATTTTCTTATTTTTCGTGTCAGAGAGTCATAGAGCTATAAATTTAGTCTGACCTAAAGCGTACTGAGCAGATGCAATGTTTTGCCATCTCCATGTGGCTCTGTGGTGGAGTAATGTTTGTTTGCGGAAGGAATAATGCCATTGGCTTTCTATTACACAGGACAGACGAACAAGAGGGTACAGGTTGTGAAGAGACAAACACCAGGAAGCATTTCTTTACACAGAGGATAATTAATGAATCAATGACTGTGCCAGGAAAGGTAATTGAAGCCGGACGTTCCTGGTACCTGCCGTCCACCTAATGAGGGTCCAAACTCATGCTTGTCGTATATCAAATCATCCTGTACGACAAAGCCCTCACGGGTAACGGGACAGGCAGTGGGAAAACTTGCCGGGCAGCGATACCGATGGCAAACTATGCGGTTTTAGCTGGTTAGAGGCCAGCAGTATCCCAACCTTCACAAGGGGGAACCCCAAGCTTTGGCTCTTGCCGACCCGCCCCAAATACTCTCTGGGAATGGGGTACGCAGGTTGCGTCCCTCCAGGGAGAGAGTGCGCATTCCAATAAATATAGCCGGGGGTGCACGGAGCTCTCAGCTCAGGTTGGATGCGCTTAAAAATGGCGATGGGTTGCTGCACGCGCCAATGAAAAAAAAACCAATTGAGACCGGGATTGCCCCAACGTCAGTCCACGTCTCAACCGCCCCACTCTGTCTCCTCCGGCTGTCGATCAGTGAACCCCTGGACTGTCAGTCAATGCGCCCCCCGCCCCCCCCCCCCCCTCCCCGGCTTTTTTTTTTTTGGGGGGGTGGGGGGGGGGGGGGTTTCAGCCGGGCACGGGCGGAAAAACCATCACGATGGTCGAGAGTGTCCGCTCCGAGCTGAGGATTCCACGCGGCCTCACCCACCCGTGGAGGTGCCCGAGAGAGGCGCTGCGCTCTCTCTCTCTCTCTCTCTCTCTCTCCCCCCCCACCCCACCCCGGAGGGAGGGACGCCTCCCGCCCGCCTAATTCCGGGAAGTATTAGGGGCGCAGGTTGGCGAGAGCCGAGGTTGGGGGCTGTCGGTCAATACACCCCTTGGCTGTCGGTCACTGTCACTACCACTCCCCGCCCCCTTGGCTGTCAGTCACTGCCTCTCCCCGCCCTCTTGGCTGTCAGTCACTGCCTCTCCCCGCCCTCTTGGCTGTCAGTCATTGCCACTCCCCGCCCCCTTGGCTGTCAGTCACTGCCTCTCCCCCCGCCCCCTTGGCTGTCAGTCACTGCCACTCCCCGCCCCCTTGGCTGTCAGTCACTGCCTCTCCCCGCCCCCTTGGCTGTCAGTCACTGCCACTCCCCGCCCTCTTGGCTGTCAGTCACTGCCACTCCCCGCCCTCTTGGCTGTCAGTCATTACCACTCCCCGCCCCATTGGCTGTCAGTCACTGCCACTCCCCGCCCTCTTGGCTGTCAGTCATTGCCTCTCCCCCCGCCCCCTTGGCTGTCAGTCACTGCCACTCCCCGCCCCCTTAGCTGTCAGTCACTGCCACTCCCCGCCCCTTGGCTGTCAGTCATTGCCTCTCCCCGCCCCCTTAGCTGTCAGTCACTGCCTCTCCCCGCCCTCTTGGCTGTCAGTCACTGCCTCTCCCCCCGCCCCCTTGGCTGTCAGTCACTGCCTCTCCCCGCCCCCTTGGCTGTCAGTCACTGCCACTCCCCGCCCTCTTGGCTGTCAGTCACTGCCCCACCCCGCCCCCTTGGCTGTCAGTCTCTACCCCGCCCCCCCTCTCCCCCCCCCCCCTCCCTTTAGCTGCCAATCAGTGCTCCCCCGCAAGTGGTTCCGGTTCCGGTCTGGTGTTTTGGCGCGAGCGCTGGCAGTTGGCGGCCGTTATGAAAGTTCACTCGGGCAACGAGATGTCGGGGTTCGGGCTGAGGCGGCCCTGGGCCCGGAGCGGGGGGGCGCTGGTGCTGTTGGAGCGGCTGCTGCAGTGCTCGGCATGGTAACTGCCGCTCTCTGCACTACACTGTACAGGAGAGAGTTACACACAGCCAACGGCTGGGGAGAGGGTGTATTTCTTCCCCCCCCCCTCCGGGCGGAGGGGGTCACACTCGGGCCATGTCTGGCTCTCTGGGCCGTCTGTTTCGGGGTCTCTTTGTGTATGTGTGTGAGTGTTGGTGTGTCAGTTTGTGTTTGGCTGTATGTGAGTTTGTGTGTGTGTGTGTGTTTGTATGTACATGTGTTGGTGTGTCTTGTCACATGTGTGTCCTGTGCAGTCAGGATCTCTGCCCCCCCCCCCCCCCCACCCTCCCCCCGCCTCGCCCCCACCCGTTGCTCTGAAACTCTTCCCTGAAATCCCTCCGCCTCACCCCCTCTCCTGCCTCCTTCAAGTCCTGCCTAAAGACCGTCCTCTTCGAACGTGCCTTCAGTCAACCCTCATCCCCCACCCCCTGCCCCCCCCACCCATCCACCCCGACCTCCACCCCTCCTGCTCCCAACTCCCAGCTCGGGTCCAAAAACACCTGACTGTCCAGCGCCCCCGGGACGTCTTTCTGACGTGAAGGATGCTGTGCAAGTGTAGATTGTTGTTGTCAATATCTGTGTGTGTGTGTGCGTGTGTATGTGTTGATGTGTCTTGTCAATGTGTGTGTGTGTGTCTGTACCAGTCTCACTGCAATGCACAATCTTCTTGCTATGAGTTGGGATCCTGGCTGTTTTCTCGGGGGGTGGGGGGGAGATTTCCTGATTTGTCCTCTGACCTCTGTGCCCACTGATTACATTGCAAGAGTTTAGTCAACCATAACTTTTATAGGAGCAGGAGGGGGGGAGCAGGGCAACAAGAGATGACCTCGGTAGAGTGGAGCCTCTTAGATCACTTTAGCGGTGAAGATAGTGAGGGCAGGATTATATGGAGGATTGTCATTGGAAATATGAAATGCAAGAGATAATAGCTATTGGGCGGTCTTGTGAGCTGCATGCAGCAAACTTTTCCTTGAGGAATTGAAAGAAAGAGGCGATCATTGCCCCTATCAAAAGAGATCATGATTTAGCTACTGCGCTGAAAGAGTGGGATTTGGAGGCAGTTGATGAATATGAGTGGAATCAATAGCCAGAGAATGGATATGATAAATGGAGGAGTTTATGACTTCATATGAACTTGGGTTACTCTTTGGAACCTCAGTTATCCACTATAATAGGGAGATTTCTCCATTGATAATTGTAATTGGCTGATAAGTCAAATTCCACTTAACTTAATTGGTTATTGAAGATAATATATACCTGTAATCCCATATGTCATACACTACATCTTTTTGGCATAGGAAGGGTGAATCTTTTTGATAGCTTGAGATGCATTTTTAAAGCAATATTTTCTTAATAAATGAATTATTGGTAGAGTCCCAGTACATGCTTGTTATGTAAAACTGGCCAACATTAAAAAAAAAGAAAGTAGAACTGCTTCTTATGGACCAGGAGCTCACTTGTTCAAATCCTGGTCCATGATGCATTTGCTGCTCTGAACCAAGGCTGTGTCATGAGCATAAGTTGGACTAGTTCTTCTCAGGGGTAGGCGGGATAAAATTGGATAAGGTTGTTTCTAATGCTTGTTCACCACCCTCTACAGGTAATGCGAATGTGTGGAACTGTGGTGAAGAAAAGTCAGGCATAGCTGTGACACTGCAGTTGAACTATTCCATTTGCCCTGCACTCCTCTTGACTAACCCGCAGCATGGGTGCCAACCCTTTGCTATCTAGTGCCTTGAGACATCCTCCTGCCATAAAAGGCGCTATAATAATAATAATAATCCTTGCATTTGATATAGCGCTTTTCACGTCGGGAGGACGTCCCAAAGCGCTTCACAGAACACACTGTAAAGTGAATTGACTGTATATTTGTGGGTGAACGCGGCAGCCAATTGCGCACAGCAATGTCCCACAAACAGTCGTAAATATAAATGCAGTTTTTGTTTTGGAACGATTTGCTGATACTGCCAAGACTCGCACATAGCCAATTACTATTTGGGCAGGAATACTATACCGGAACCGCACCTCAGCAAGATGAGGCTGGAGACGAGGAGCAGGGAGGCATTTGTCAAATGGGGACAAATTTGGAAAATAATTGGATATACTAAAAAATTTTATATAAAAAATTAGGAGTGTGATCCAATAAACTATATTTCAGTGTCTTCCCAGTGACATGGAAGTCCATGTGAATTAGACATTACGCAATAACTCAATATCTAAACATTGCTGGTTTCAAGGTATCCTGAAATATAGCTCAGAACGGTTGTTGATCCCAAACATGTGAATGGGCTGATTTAATTTATGTCAAAATACAGTGTAATCAGGGTGCTTTAGGAATTTTGGTTATGCAGTTTTTCTGCAATTGTGGCTCAACATCTCTTTGCAGAAAATGACAGAAACAGCAATATAATCCTTTGTAATTGTTCAGTTTAACTGTGGCCTGATGATAATTTACCTGCTTTAAATGCATATAGTAGATGGTTCTTGTAACATTTTTCAGTCAGATATGTTGTGTATTCTGCATTGCATGTCTTGATGCTCCATAACTGTCTGTTTATATCTCAGTTGTAAGTTGCTGCAGGAGCCTGTCTGCCTTGGAGGATGTGAACATGTCTTTTGTAGGTAAGAGCTAAGATTGAATTGTCAAAACTTGCCATGTATGAATAAGCCTGCTAGGATATCGTTGAATTTTTTTTTGATTGCCTGCCCTGTGCATTTAATCCAGTTTGGTAGCCGAGCAGAGACTTCAGTTGGTAGATTGGTTATCAAAGAAATGCAGATGTTGCACATAATACTGGAACCCAATGAATGCTGTGTATTGGCAAAGCATGAAATCGATTTATTTCTCTATATGCCTGGGTATAAATCTTTTAATGGAATATATTATCACTAGAGTACAGCATCTAACCTAAAATCGTGATTTTTTTCTTACTACTGCAGAAAACCCGATTAAGGCCTATCCTTGGTGCCACAAACATTTCTTAGAAAACAAGAATTTTTAATGATAGAACTCACAACTATATAGGGGGTTATTCTTGTGGAACATAACGCAGAGAAACTCTTACAATGCAGTCACCTGGGTCCAATATCTCAAAGGCAGTTAAACCAGACCATTGAAACAATGGCTGATTTCTGGGTCAACAGGTTGTTGTTGACAGCACTTCCTGTGCTATGTCCCCCAGGCGCAAGCAGCACTGCGACATTGTTTCTTTTGCAGAGTGATTTGGCGTTGGGCACTCGTATTAAAAGTAAACCCTCACTTTAGGGAAGAATTTAATAAAGTGGCTGAATATATTATTTGACAATGCAAAGATGCAAGTTCAATATCCTCTAGGTAGCCAAATAAAGTGTGTATAACTTGAAGGTTATAGTATTATATGTAAGGATACAGTATTTTTGCACCATACTAAAACTAGCATTTTGAGATTGCCTATGATTTCATTCACTCAACAAGTTCCTGACTTGGAAAAGCTGAGCAGAGTGTGTAGCGTGATGTCTGTACTCTCCTTACAGAAGTTGTGTTGCTGACTCCATTGGGAATGGCTGTCCAGTCTGCCATGCTCCAGCCTGGGTGCAAGATCTACAGCCAAACAGGCAGATGAACAACATGATCCAGTTGTGCAGCCAGCTTCGAGTATTGCTCGATAATAAAGGCTCTACAGGTGAGACTTGTATTTGGAAAAGTATTGGGTTCTCACTAACTGCCAGACACACAGTCCAAACTGAAAATATATTACTGTTATTCCCCAAGTTTTATTTTGTTGTCATAACAGAATTATCATGGACCAAGAAAGTTTGGGATGACCGAAGCTATTTAGCCCATTTGATCTCATCTTTCAAGTATGCCCACTAACCTTACTGCCAGCTCAGCTGCAACCTTTTTGACTGAGTCCACTCTTCCTAGTAACCTTTTCCAGTCATTAATTACCTTTTTAAATTTCCCTTCGAAACCCTGCTCTTTGTAAACTGTATCCTCTTGTTCTACTGGCTTGATGCATTTGAAAGTATTGTTCTGAGTTTACTTCAATAATAGTAATCCTGGCATCTGCATGTGACCTTTCACATTGGGAGGATGTCCAAAACTGCTTCACAGGAATTTACTGTGGAGGGACTGTGTATTTGTGGGTGAATACTCAATCCCATGTAAAAGCTTATATACCTCTATTGGGTCCCCTCTGAAATGGTTCTTTTGAAGACTGAGGAGCCGAAGCTTGTCTAATTGTTTTGCATTGGAGTCCTGTAGCTCAGTGGTTAGAGCACTCGCTTTGCAAGTGAGAGACCTGAGTTCAATTCCAGGCACAGGGCGAAACCTTGGGCAAGTTTCCTTACTCCACACAGAGCCTAATAATAATCCCTCCAAAAAAAAAAAACAATAATTAAATTGGTCATTTTCAATCTACGACTGTTTGTGGGACATTGCTGTGCGCAATTGGCTGCCGCGTTCGCCCACAAATATACAGTCAATTCACTTTACAGTGTGTTCTGTGAAGCGCTTTGGGACGTCCTCCCGACGTGAAAAGCGCTATATCAAATGCAAGGATTATTATTATTATTATTATTATTATTATTGCTCTTTTCCATAACACTGGGGATCATCCCTGTTGTTCAATTCTGTTTTTGTCTAAATATACATGAAGTTATATGCCTTCATAGTCATGGGGCTATAAATATACTTAGTTACAGAAGTTGACATTGGAATATATCGATCAGAAAATAAATGTGACAATTTCAGAAAATTGCACCTTGTGCTACATACGATGCTGAAGGGCTGGGTATGATAAAGGTACAAGCCAGCAAGAAAGCAATTAACTAATCTTGTAAATCACAAGAACATTAATTCTATAATAGTGATTTTCTTAACTACCACAGCAAGTTCTGTAATAATAAATGTAATAAATCAGTGCCAAATAATAAATTCCCATGTTTTATAAAAATAAGTTCTCCCAACAAATCCAATTTTTCGTGAATTTCCAATGCTCTTGGCAAATGTGTCTCAGCACCTTAGGCACTGGCAGCATCAGCATTCACGGTTGCACACTCCACCCCACCAAGCCAGTTAGGAACCTGGGTGTCTTGTTCGACCCTCAACTGTTGTTTCTCCCCCATATCCGTGCCATGACCTGCTCTGCCATCCCCCATCTCCGCAACATTGCCGGACTCCACCACTGCCTCACCCCTCAGGTCGCCAAAACCCTCATACACTTCAAGGTGCGACTACGGAAACTCTCCTTGTCAGCCTCCCCAACTCTTCCCTCCACAAGCTGTAGATCATCCAGAACTCTGCAACTCATGTCTTCTCCTGCACCAGGCTCCATGACCCCATCACCCCACCCTCGCCCGGCTCCACTGGCTCCCCATCCCTCAGAGGATAGAATTCAAAATCCTTCACTTTCAAGGCCCTGCACACCCTTTCTCCCTCCTACATCTCTGACCTGCTGACCCCCTATCAATCTGTCCACTCCTTCCGATCAGCAGGCTCCATCCTGCTCCAGGTCTCCTACCCGACCCGCCCTACCCCTGGCGGCCGGCCTTTCAGCCTCTCTGACCCCACTCTTTGGAACTCCATCCCACAATCCCTTTGCCTTGCTCCCTCTCTTGCCTCCTTCAAAGCATGACTCAAGATCCTCCTTTTTGACCGTACCTTCAGCCACCTTCCTATCCCCTCTGCCTTCCCTCATCTGAAACCTGCCCCCCACTCTTGGGTCCTGATCCCTGACTGTTCAGCGCCTTGGGATGTCCTCCCGAAGTGAAAGGCGCTTTACAAATATAATTTTGTTGTTAGGTACCTGGATAATTTATAGCCAAGAACTGAGAAAACAGGTGGAACATGTTGTAAATTGTGCACAGAATATAGATGCTGCAGTTGGAAAATTGAGTTTTCAAATGTGGGACTGGAAACTGTTCAGCCAGAAATGAGATGATTAAAAGGATTGAGGAACAAGCTTTGAAATTTAATTTCCAGTGTGAGTTTGGTTACTTTTTCACTTTTACTTTTGTGTTTCCATGGGCACTGGTTGTACTCCAGTACCCTGCCCAAGTGGATCTTGTTCATGTGTGACTCTAGAGCTTTGGGACGCTACCTCGCGTGAAGGGCGTTATATAAAAGTTATTGTTGTTTTGTGAGCCTTGGCAGCGACTGTTGGCAGGCCACAGCTTAGCTTGATGTCTCCTTGTCCACCTTCTGCATGCTTTAAAGAGTACTGGTAGAGCCAGGAGAAGGAAACTTGGCTGTTTTTTCCCCTCCCTAATCCTGGACTAATTTAGCGTCCCCACGAGCCCCACCTGAGACCAGCAAACTCCGTACAAACCAGGATTTGAATTGGTGAGCTCCAGGACTGTATGCTGCAGCTACACATTGCATCATTGGGGCTAATGCCGATAACCTTTCTATCGGGCCTCCTATTGATTCTGTGTTTTCCCCCTTTATGGCAATTTATTGAATCTTTTTTAAAGAAAAGTCTGTTTGTGGAATATTTTTGTCTCAAGCTATTAATCTAAAAAAGCTACTGAGATAATAGAAAAGATTCTTATCTAAAGATCAGTGAAGCCTCCTGTATTAATGGCCCATTTACCAATGTTAATCTTTTGTCACTTGTGCGTTTGGATTTATTAACTCCCCAGATGCAGTTCCTACTTCGAATTGCTCCCAGCTGATGCGCTCATCAAACAAACTATTGCGAAGTCACAGAAATAATCCTAACATTATATATTTAATATAGGGAATCTTGGTAATAACTTTTTTTTAAATGAAAGAGGAGCTCATGATTGAAGATTCTTTAAAACGTTCATGTTTTGACTATGCAAGCTGACCTTGTTATAAATATGCCGTGGCAAAGTCTGCTTATAATGTAGTTATACCTTGGAGTAATGGCATATCAGAAGCGAATGCTTCCAGCTACCAGTGCTGATTGCCTGCATGTGTGCACAATCACCGGTGACCTGATGATCTGGAAGCGTTGACCGGAGGCGAGGCCATTTCCTAGAACACCTTGTTATAATACAAGGGTCTGAGTTTATGGAGGCCGACCACTGTGTTATAACTGTCAGCCTGTGTGCATTGCTTGAGAAAAAAATGTGGTTGTGTTTTGAAGTTTTGCAGATATTTTGAGCATGTGAGCTGCTGCTAATCTAGCATGTTTTTAACCTTTTAGCGTATTTCCTTCCTGCTTTACGTTTCTTGAACAGTCTGTTTCTGCATAAATGCCAACTTGATTTCTTATTTATTCATCTTCTAGATTTTTAAAAAGTCTCATGTGTTTCCACATTATTTCTTGTCAGTTAAATAGTTCTTTATCTCTCCCAGTTTCTTCCATGATCGTCCATCTCTCTTGTTACCTATTACATGCACGGTTAAGAGCGAATAAACTTCAGGCTGGTGGAGTTGCAGTTTACATGTGCTCCTCAACATTAGGTTATGGAACAGTTTCAGTCTTGATGGAATGAAATTGGAATGAAATTCTTTCTGCATAGAGGGAGAGAGAGACAATAAAAGTGCAATGCATAGTGACTCACAAATAGTAAGTTCTGCCAATGTGCTTCATGCCGACTGGTAGCGATTCTGCCCTTATTCATTGTACTTAAAGCTGTGTTCCTGTGAGTCAGTGAATTTCTGCTTTCAGGCACTATTTTAGAATCCCATTGTAAATGTTGAGCTTTAGACCCAATGAAGATGCAGTGGGTTGTGGAACTTGAAATATTAGGTGTGATGTACATTGTCTACAGAATACTTAATCTGCCCAGTAACAAATCTGAATTGTCCTTTCCGCATGATGTTTTGACCCTTCAGGGTGTTTTTTTCACACATCTCTGCACTCAATTTCCTCTTAGAACTGTTTTGCTCCCTTTTTTTCAGTCAGCTTTGTTTTCACTTAATCATTTTTTTTGATGGATGTTATTAAGAGTTCCGCAGATAGTGGAAATAATTTAAACTGCAGTGATTTTAGTCAGAGGATTTGGTGTTTGTATGTATATTCTTGTTGGTGGGAAAGCATAATCTGTACCAAAAATATTGGTACAATACAATGTGAAGCCATGGAGGTTATGACTGTCAAGTTAAATATTCATAATTATTTTGAGTGTTTTTGTTATCTGCACCATGTGAGCTATAATAGCAATAGATAAGCATAGTCATACAGGGTATCAATAATTTGAAAATGTTTCAAATGGATACTAATACTATTAGGAGTTTTAAACTTGTTGAGTAGGGAAGAGCTCATAAGTTACTGTATTTCATTTTTTTTTCTAACAATTGCAAAGAATGATATTGTGGAACAGCAGAATTTTACTCAGAGTTGGCATTAAAAAAATCACATAAATAATAAAATAACCTGAATTATAAAATCTGTCAGTCGGCTCTTTCATTTCTGATACTATTAATTGTTGCCGGTTGTTGAATCGTTCTTCAAGGATCAGATGGCTTGGAGCAACTTTCCAAACAATTACTCTGAATTACTACAGTTGAAAAAATTTTCTGTTGAAAAGTCTATTTACTTCTAAGAGAAATTAATGGTACCATCGTCCTCATCATTAACTAATTTTTTTCTGTACTGTATACAATATGCGCTCTCGATTGATTGCGATTAGCTAGTCTCTTACTTTGCTTTCATGATTGTAATGTAACAATTATTGATTATAAGCAATCTTAGCTCCACTTTTTTGATAT